CCCTGCGCCAGCGGCTCCGCGGCACCCTGGGGACCGGCCCGGCTGACCGCAGGCTCCGTGCCGTGGGGCATCTCCAAAGAGAGACCTCATCCACCATCCATTGACCTCGCTCCTGGGAGCAGCTCAACGAACGGTGCCGTAACGCTCTGAACGAAACACCTCCCCTGCTGCAGAGAACCTACACTAATACCAAACAGAAAATAAAGAATTATATGCACGCTCGCTTGCTTTCCCAATCGGATTTACCTTGCCAGCAGAAACCTGGGACAAAGGAATTCAGGGAAGCAAAGCCTCCACGTCCTTGTGCGTCACAGAACACCACCAACCCCCTGCCGCGTCCTGGCGGTGGCCAACCCCCGCGGGCTGCGACCACGGCTGCTCCATCCCTTTTGGCACAGCGCCACGAGCCACCTCTCCTGCCTCGTGAGCCGGAAAAATCCGAGGTGCCAGGAAAAGGGCAGGCTCAAGCCTTCCTCTGCCAAACAGTAACCTGAGGAGCGCGGCGGGCGGGGGGAGGCTGAGAGCAGGACCCCGGGCAGGACACGGCACTGCGGTGGGGAGGAAGGATGCTGCAGATGTACGAATTGTCCCACCTCCCCAGGGCACCACGGGACTTCCTGCAGGACCATTGCTCAGCACCAGCGATGCCCCAGTTTGAGCCCACAGCTGGTTCGTCAGCCATCACCGGCAGCAAATCCTCCTTCCCACCACACCACTTGGTATTCCCACTTCCCCGAGCCCCAGTTACAGCCCCAAATACTCCAAATCGTGGCCTTTATTAGCCCCTGACAGGCATTTCCCTTTTACCCCGCATCAGCCCAGCTGCTCTGATGGCTTCCATGAAGGACTTAACCAAAAGCCGCTGGAAACCCAGATGGACCAGATGAACTCCACATACTTGCTGACTCCTTCAGAAACCTCCCAGCAGATTTGAAGTCCGGATTCCTCCTCGTCCTCATCCATCAGCCAGTGGCCCTCCCAGCACATCACAGTCATTTACGTCTCGAGTCTTCATCAGAGTTTCTACCAAAGTAGCAAAGACTTCCCCAACGTGAGGAGAACTTTAAAGGAGAGGCTACAAGCAGAGCTTTGCTCTTTTCATCCCCTGGTGCCCCAACCGCTCAGGGTGTGGACCCCCCCGCTGCTCAGGCTCATTGAACACCCGTCCTACCACCTCCTCTGCCAACGCTGGAGCTTGCCCGGTGGGGCAGCGCGGGTGGCCAGAACGTTAATGGACTGCAGTTCATGCACCTCTCAGACGGACTCGCATTCACCCACCACCGAAGTGTTTATTTACTTTGCAATATTTAGAAATCCTCTTCAAGAGAAAAGCCAGGCGAGGCGCGTGGACCTTGTCCACTTTCAACCCACTGCTCCCCGTTTCCGGCAGCTCGGAGGCACGGTGTGACTGCGGAAATGACCCCCCCAGCCTGCTGAGCTGCGGCCCTGCAGTAACACCCCTGTTCAAGGCGCGATTTGCGTCCAGGAGCTTCTTGGAGCCGCCTTCGCAAAACCACCAACAACTCTCCCTCGTTTGTCCAGGCTGGATTTGGCTGGGCGTCCCTCCTGCAGTTGCAGAGAGGGAATCTCAGCTTCCAGCACCCCCAGACAGGCAGCGCTGGACCTTCACCCAAACTACAGCCCCCGGTACAGAGGAAAGGGAGCAGGGACGTGGGAGCTGCTTGCTTTCGTAGCCATACACGTTTGAAACAGAGACAAGCAGAAGAGGATGACCCAAACATCTCGCTTGATGCTCTGCTTAGCACTGGCAATGTCAGAGCCACCATTTTAAGGCGGTGGGACACCCGAGTTCAGCTTTAACCACATTAACTTGCTTTAAAACCACATAAACGGGAACGATGGAGGCGAGAAGGCGAAGAGACTGTGGTTTTGCAAAACTAAGCTGAGAGTGCAACACCGTAATTTTCTGACGCTAACAATTAAACTTTGTTTTAGAAACGTTTCTGTTGTCACGAATCCTCAAGATGGCTTTTATATATACATGTATTTGGGGAAAAAAGACAGATCTATATATAGATCCTGTGCTGAAACACCAGCTTCTGTTCTCTCCAAGGGCACCATCTGCTCTGGCAGATACCTGCAGTAAATCTGCACGAACACAAACTCGAGCCACCCAGTCAATAAATAATTTAATGAGGTTACAGCTCTGCAAGAAAACACGACAGCACCCCTTCCCAGCCTCCAGCCTCACCCCGCCGGCACGGCAGAAAAACGCACGCGAGCCGAACAACAAACCACAGCTGCACCAAAAGGCCTCTGGAACGCACGGATCTTCACAGAAGATATTGCTCCAGGCCCAGACACTGGTACACTGTCAGCACTTGCCTCCGTGGGAAAAAACATGCAGCACCTCCATCAGCCTCCCAGTTACACCTCAGCCAGATCATGCTCCAGGGACCATGCATTTAGGGGAGGGGGAGAGCCCAGACCCACATGTACCAAAACATCAAAACATGGGATGGTGAAACGAAGAGGAAGGCTGCAGCAAAGCGCTCCGCTGCGAGTCCTGAAGATGACTCTCGTGGAATGAAAACAGCTGTCAGAAGGGAAGTCGCTTCAACTGCTCGTATGTGATAAAAAACTGAAGGGAACGTCAAGGAATTGGGTTAAATACGTGCGGCAGCGGCGCTGGGCCTCCCGGCACGACCTGGCGAGGCGGGGCAGGCAGAGCACCAGCACGGCACAGCGGCAGACCAGCGCGGGAAGCCCCTCTTCCAGGCGGTGCCAACTGGTCTGCACAAGTGGCAGAGAGAGCTGTGGGACCAGAGCCACCAGCAGAGCGAAGAGGCTGACCCAGAGGCAAACCAGTCCAGGGCTCTAACCCCAGACCGGGACCTCCCCAGGACAGGGAGTCCGCTTTGGACCGCCACGGGGAAGACAAGGAGGTGCCCCATCAGGGTGTCAGCTCTGCACTTCCCTTCACAGCCTGGTTTTCCCCTGCCTGTCCACACCCATGACCTCCCGGCAGCACACCGAAGGATACGATGATGTTCCAGGGACCCAGTCGAAGCCAGTTGGGCCAGAAACCTTTATAGAGTGCAAAGAAGCCCTCGCTCTTCCACGTCTGGGAGGAGAGAAGAAACAGATCGATTACGAGACACACCAGGTCCACACTCTGCCCATCTCCCCAGTGCCACGTGTGACACAATGGACCTTTACGGCCGCTGCAGGCAGCAGACCGGCAAGTGGAGATGCAGTTAAGTTGTGTGAAGTGTCACTGACAGTACGTGAACCGAATCAAGCTGCACCACCCACAAAGCTTTGCCCCAGAGAGTTGGAAGGGCACTCGAGCCGATGGCGACCTCAGGGAAGTGACTCTAGGCCCTTCTCTGGTTTGTATGAAACACTCAATTCTGCTGCTGTAGCATCTAACAGCTGTATCAGCGGCGTGTGGCACCGGCATCTGGCCAGCCTCCTGAAGACAGGGATTTGCCCACGTCTCTTGCCCCCTCACCTTCACAAGGCCATCCAGAGTGCCCTTGTAGAGCTCCGTGCTGCCCACTATTGCCCGCTGGTTCATCATCCGTGTCCGCACCACGTCCACAGGGTTGGAGGCAATGGCCCCAGCCAGCCCGCAGGTGAAACTGGAACTACACACACCAAAACAGGAGAGAGGAACAGCTCTAACACGGCCGGCCCGGCTCCAGCAGGACTTGCCGCAAGCACAAGAGAGGACCTTTCTCTGGATTTTATGAAAGGCATCGGGCAATAAGCATTCGCTGCGCTACCTGTTCCCACCCAAAAACAGGCGGCGGCAGGAGCCAAAAACCCACCCGCCTCAGCACCCCAGAGCTCGGGGAGGGGAAATGCTCAGCGTTGTCTAACCAGACCCCCGCCAGAGCCCACCGCTGGGTCTCCACGGGCGCAGCGTCTCCGGGTGCTGTCAAGGTGACACAGACCTGAAGGCAGCCTCTTGGAAGCGCACATCCTTCTCACCAGAGCAAACATTTCTTCGGGGCGGGGAAGGAGGGAGGAAGACCAAAAGCAGCAAGAGGGAGCATGGAACTGCTAGCCTCCTCCCTCCACGTATGGTCTAGTGCTTGTCACCTTCAGCCCACAGCAGGCAACCCCAACGGAAGCACTGCAGCACCTCCAGCTAAAGTGTCTGCCAGAAGAACAGGAAAACGTAGGTGAAAAAAGACTTTGGGAGGTCTCTAACCCACCCCCTGCTCGGAGCAGGCTGACTTCAAAACTCGGTCAGATTGCTCAGGGTCTCGGTCAGCTTCGCGAGCCTCAGTCCGTCCCACCAAGCTCTTACAGCAGTGGCTGCAAGCTGGCAGCGTCTGTTCAGAGGAGGACCCGGGACTGGAGCAGCTCTTTCATCCGACTGCTACAGGGAGTCACCCCCCCCCAACTCCTGCCTTGCTCATACCAGGGCACAGACACGGAGCAACAGCGTTTCACGTCGTCAGCGAGCTGAAACCAAGCTGACATTTCACATCACCAAAGGATTTCTGCCAGGCTCTTTCTCCACAGAGGTCTCTCCAGGGATACTTGCTGGTCATTCGGAGCTGCTCCAGCGGACACAGCAGATCCCTCGGAAGTACCAAGCCTGTTCTCTGCAGCTCCAGAGCACTTGCTCTATAAACAAGTCTCAGCCCAAATCCCACCTTGCTCCTCTGCTTCGCACACCCCTGCGCAGCCTGGAGAGTGCAGCAGCTGCAGCAAACACTCACACGAAGTGGGCGAAGATGGTGTCGCCCATCAGGCCCGACAGGATTAAGTGCTTCTTGGTGATGTCGTAGACCGGCAGTTCCACTCCGACCACGATGGCGGCTCTTTGAGCTGTTGGGACAACACCCTGCAGAGGACAAACACCAGTCACGAGCACAAACTGCTGCCTGGGGCCTGCAGCTACTGCAGCAAAACATCTCCCCAGCTTCCCCTCAGGGGCCTTTTGCTGCCAATCCACCCTGTGTCCTCCTTGCCCCATCTTGCAGCTGTGGCCCTTCAGGCAGCCCAGCTCCCTGCCTCCCAGCTCTACTCCAAAGCCAAGGAGGATTCCTGCACTCTGGCAGCGTCACTCCAGACAGATGAACTACACAGCAAAGAGGCAGGTAAACTGTCCTGCTCGCTGCACGCAGGGTCACTTCCAATGGGCTCCAAGACACACCGGACTGAGCATCCTTCCTAAGGCGGACCATGGAGAGGATCAGCCCCAAATTCAAGGGACGCTCCCGTATTTGAAACGTTACGCACACCAGCTTCAGTCCTGGAAAGCAGGTGTGCCTGAGCCAGAGCAGACGTTGCCAGGGCACAGACCCCGTCTCTACCACCCATGTGCTTCTGTTTGTCCGGTAACCAGAAGCAGAACTTTGCTACTACCCTTGGTTCACAGTTCTCTTCAAGAGCTGCACCTGGGCGTAGCAAACGAGCCGAGGAAGCTGTTAGTTCTGCTACTAGCTGTGGCATTGCAGCAGCGGGTGCTCACCCTCCAGAGGCCTCGGGTACCCTCCTGCTGGTAGATGTCGATGAAGCTGCCAATCATGCCACCCTGGAACAAACTGCCTTGAGCCTGCATTCGAATCTGAAAGAAATGCCGAGAGTCAGCGGGATGACATCAGTGGGATGACATCAGCGGGATGACATCAGCGGGATGACATCAGCGGGATGACATCAGCGCCTGCCCCGGAGGGCAGAGATACCAGCCCAGCGGACCTGCTGGGAGGAAGAGCAACAGAGCAACTCAGAGCAGCCACCGCCACCCATGTGCCCGCTCCCTGCAAACCGCGCCGCAAACAGTGATGGCCGGCAGGAGCAGGGACAGCAACAGGGTGGAGCACGGTGCAAAACTCAGACAAGACAGAGAAGGGACAGGCGAGGCCTTCCCACTCTGCGAGCAGCCCACGGAGGGTGATCTACACATGGAGAAGGTGGGAAAGTTCTCCAGGCTCTCTTTGCTCAGAGCAGAGCTACCTGATCCCAGCAACCCCGCAGCGGGGAATGGAGGGGACCAGGCAGTCCGCACCGGGCTCTGGTCACTCCACGTAGCAGGCAGCGAAGCACCGCACAGCGACCAAAGGGAAAGGAGCCGAGAAGGTCCGACGAACAGCTGGCTACTGCCCCGCTCGTCTCGCCCGGCCAGGACAACAGCCTCCACCCCTTGCCGTAACCGATTTCAGGATCTTTAAAAGCTGCGTTCTTCAAAATCTGCCTACTGCCCTGGGCTTCTGTTCCCCTTCATAAAACCCCCAAATTAGCAGAACCGCTGGCAGCAGCGGCTCAGGGAGGACCTCGCTGCAGCTGGGAGAGACGCACCTTCAGTGGAAAGCAGCCGCTCCCCCCA